CTCCCTGTTCAATAAATGGTGCCAGGAAACTGAATAGCTATGTGAATAATATTGAAACTGGACCCTTTTCTTACACCATGTAGAAAAATTAACTCAAGAAGGATTAAAGACAAATGTAAAATCCAAAGCTATGAAAACTCTGGCAATACCATTCTGGATGTATAACAAGACAAAGATTTCATGATAAAGACATTCAAAGCAGTTATAAAAAAGGAAAGATTGCCAAATAGGACCTAATTAAACTAAAGAGCTTCTGCACAGGAAAAGAAACTATCAACAGAATAAATGGGCAACCTACAGAATGGGACAAAATATTTACAAACTATACATCTAACAAAGGTCTAATATCCAGTATCTATAAGGAGCTTAAACAAATTTACAAGAAAACAAAACACACCATTCAAAAAAGGGGCATGAGGAAACACTTCCCAAAAGAAGACATACACATGACCAATGATCATATGAAAAAAGCTCAACATCACCCACCATTAAAGAAATGCAAATCAAAACCACAGTGAGATAGCATCTCACACCGGTCAGAATAGTCATTATTAAAAAGTAAGAAAATAACAGATGCTGGTGAGACTGAGGAGAAAAGGGAACTCTTATACCTTACTAGTGGCAATATAAATTAGTTCAACCACTGCTGAAAACAGGGTGGTGATTCCTCAATGAGCTGAAAACGGAAATACCATTTGACCTAGAAATACTATAGAACATTGGTTATCTAATAGGTATATACCCAAAGGAATAGAAATTGTTCTATCATAAAGACATATCCATGCAAATATTCATTGCTGTGCTATTCACAATAGCAAAGACATGGAATCAACCCAAATACCCATCAACGACAAATCGAATAAAGAAAATGTGGCACATACACATTACGGAATACTATGCAGCCATAAAACAAATGAGATCATGTCTTTTGCAGGAACATAGATGGAATTGGAGGCTTTTATCCTTAGGAAAATAATGCAGAAAACCAAATCCTGCATATTCTCACTTATAAGTTCACTAAATGAACACAAAGAAATCATGAACACAAAGAGGCAAACAACAGACATTGAGGTCACTTGAGGGTGAAGGTTGGGAGGAGGAGAGGATCTTAAAAAAAATAACTATTGGGTACTAGGCTTAGTACCTGGGTGAAGAAGTAATCTGTACAATGAACCTCCATGACACTTGTTTAGCTATATGGCAAATCTGCATATTGTACCCTTGAATATAAAATAAAAGTATTTTTAATACCATTACTAGGTATATATCCAAAGGATCATAAATCATTCTACTATAAGGACGCATGCACACGATTGTTCATTGCAGCACAGTTTATAATAGCAAAGACCTGGAACCAACCCAAATGCCCATCAATGATAGATTGGACAGGGAAAATGTGGCACATATACACCATGGAATATTATGCAACCATGAAAAACGATGAGTTTGTGTCCTTTCTAGGGGCATGGATGAAACTGGAAACCATCATTCTCAGCAAACTGACACAAGAACAGAAAATCAAACACCACATGTTCTCATTCATAGGTGGGTGTTGAACAATGAGAACACATGGACACAGCGAGGGGAGCATCACACACTGGGGTCTGCTGGGGGGAAATAAGGGAGGGGCAGCAGGAGGTGGGGAGTTGGGGAGAGATAGCATGGGGAGAAATGCCAGATATAGGTGATGGGGAGGAAGGCAGCAAACACACTGACATGTGTGTACCTATGCAACGATCTTGCATGTTCTTCACATGTACCCCAAAACCTAAAATGCAATAAAAAAAAATTAAAAAAAATAAAAATAAAAGTATTTTTAAAATATGAATATATTTACCTTTAATTTATTTGAAAGGGAAATCCTTTCTCACAACTAATTAAGTCTTTTGGTGAAAAAAAGTTCATTTGTATTGCATATATATCCAGAGTGGAATCACAGGGTATGAATATGTCGATTACTAGCTTTTTAGTAATAAAAGTTATACATGTTCATTGCATTTAAACATTTAAAATATGATAGCAAAAAGAAGAAGAAAAAATTAAACTACTTTAATCCAAGAACTCATATAAGTATTATAAAAATGTATGTGGAAAGCCTTCCTGTGTGGGTGAAGGAAGAGTGTTCCCAGAAAAGAGACAAGCTTGCTGAAGCACAGAATTCCAGAAAATATATCACTTTTAAGAACTGAAGAAAGTTTGAGTGACAGAACGTTGGAGTGTAAGTGTCGCAGAAGTCTAGGCAGAATTTGTTAGGGGCCTAGTAAGTGAGGCCTTATTATACCCAACCTAACGTTAGCCTTTATCCTAAGAACAATGGCAGAGCCATCACAAAATTTGAAGATGAGAAAAAATATGATCTGATATGTGTTTTAGGAAGATCGTTTCTGCCTGCAGTATACAGAGTGGCCTGGGGTGTACCAAGACTTGAGGCAGGAAATTAGATTTTCTAGTAATCCAGGCAAGGGATGATGGGTATGTAGACAGGTAAAATGTCAGTGGACACAAATACGGTTTAGAGGGTTATTAATGGAATTTGGGTAGTGAGAGAGGGACAGTTCCAGAAAGATCTCAGTGTTCTTGCTTGAATTATGAAGTAGCTGGTGGTTTGTTTCACAAGAAGAGAAGGGGAGATCTGGAGCTAAGAGGAAAGTGATGCATTGGCTTTGAATTTACTTGAGTGAGGTGAATCATAAACCATGTAAATGAACATGCCCAGGAGACAGTAGAAACAGTTTCTTAATTCAGGAGAGGTCTAAGAGTTATTAGTAAATAAATGGTTACTTGTGTAAAGGAACTTGAATGAATAAAGAAAAAGAGACAGAAGGCTGAGGAACAGCAATTAAAATAAAATGGAAGAGAAAGAAGACTCAGCAAAATAAACGAAATCAATTGTAGCCAAAGAGGAAATAGCGTAATCAGAACTGTGCAATGCCAGGGAAGCCAAAGGAAGAAAGAGGTCCAGGAATAGGAGTGTAGGCTTCAGGGTCAACAGTTCTGAGTGGTCATATGGAAAGAAAGAAGAAGTACTAGATCTGTATACATGATCATCCTACATTGTTTAATATTCACAGACCTCTAGAAGCGTTTTTCAAATACTGACAGCAATTTATGATTACCACTGCCTAGGTAGTAAGAATCTCACTTAATATTTTATTTGAAGAAAGTTATTGATAAGAATTGGACACTGACTTATGTGAGTATGGAATGGAAGGACCATGGGAAGATGTCAAAGGTGGGATGCCAGGGCCCAAAGCACCCTCCGTAGTGAGGGGCAAGGCAGGCGTGGTGGTATTCTTAACTCTGAACTCGTCTTACAGCCAATTTATAGGGCTGGTAGAGAGAAGGGGATGGACAGACGTATTAGCTCATCGACTGGGAATGTGATCCCTAGCTGAAGCCGAAGAGGAAAGCTGGTGTCGAGACTTAAATGAAATTGAAGGAGGTGAAAGGATAACCTTCTGGAGAAGAAAGAGATGACTTGCAATATATCTCTTTCTGGCATTCTACACTGGCTGACTTATATGCTCTTACCATCAATAATACTTAGGAAGCAAGGAAACACACGGCCAAGCCAGTGTTTTTCAGCGATAAATAGCCCTAGTAGAGTCAAGGATATTTTAGTGTATTACAGTTTAGCTCAGATAACAGTTTTTATTTGATTCCAGCCAGAGTGTTTAATGGCTTAAGATTGGAAAACATCCCTGCCTTTTTGCTGTCTTACAGACAGCAAAAATACCATTCTGGATAATATTATTATTATTATTTAATTAGAAGAAATTGAAAAAGAGAAGGCAGAGAAGATCCCAGGTCTCACACTCTGGGACTATGCCATGCCTGGTGGATCCAGCTGCCAACAGCATGTGTGTCATTTTCTTCTTAACTGTACTTGTTATTTTTTTTTGTTGCTGTTCAATTCTACAAGAACAAGTTGTGCAAAACCATGTTCCTCCATCATATGGAGGAACACAGATGAAAGACATGGCTTTTTCTTCTTTAAAAGCAGACAGTTCCATGAAGCAGGGTCAATATGCATCATATTGATATCTGTACTCCCAGCCCCTAGTACATAAAAGCTGCTTTAAAAATATTTGCTTAATGGGTCAGGCGCGGTGGCTCAAGCCTGTAATCCCAGCACTTTGGGAGGCTGAGGCGGGTGGATCACGAGGTCAAGATATCGAGACCATCCTGGTCAACATGGTGAAACCCCGTCTCTACTAAAGATACAAAAAATTAGCTGGGCATGGTGATGCGTGCCTGTAATCCCAGCTACTCAGGAAGCTGAGGCAGGAGAATTTCCTGAACCCAGGAGGCGGAGGTTGTGGTGAGCCAAGATCATGCCATTGCACTCCAGCCTGGGTAAAAAGAGCGAAACTCTGTCTCAAATATATATATATATTTGCTTAATGAACATATGAGGGTTCCAATGAGGTCAGGCACATATCCAAGTAAGTTTAATAGAGACACTGTGATTCATGCTATAAAAGCAGCACAGATACTGCTGATAATATCAGTAGGGAAACACTCAGATATCTGAACACAGGCACAATACATAATCTACATAATAATAATAAGGAAGTAAACTATATATTGATCCACATTCTAAGGCTGAGTTTGTAACTTCTGTTTGGTGGACACTGTCATATTTACCTATTGAAATTTGAATAGCTTCTATTTTGCAGATCTCTCTTTGGAATATTTGTTTTCGTGTCTACAGTATTGAGTTGTTCTATGGGAACTGGAAACATTCCTACCAGGTAAATATGTTGAGTGTATTTAACAAAAAAATACAAGAGTGTCTGTGGGGTGACTTCACTAAACGATCAATAGAAACCAAACACAAAAACCAACAGTGCAACAATAGGACTGCGTGCAATAGTCCTTTGAAAAGTTCTGTTTGAGAGCTGATACATTTTATTTTTATTTTTTAAATAAAAGATCAAGTCTCTTAAATTATAGACTTCTTTCAAGAGTTGAAAAATTAAAGTGATTCGAGGGAAGCTTTTTAGAATTAAGCTTATGTTCAAAGAAAAATTACTGGGCAAGAAGGATAATTTAACAAGTATTTCTATTAATGTATATTAGTATCTGAACCATATTGAGGCAATCTGTTGTAGAAAAAGAAGTGAATGAAAGGCACTCCATCCCTCCCCTGTACCAGCCTTGCCTCTGTTGTCAGTGCTATTGTGACCAGGGGAGTATACCCAGCTCCCAGAGCTCATAGGTCCTTGGCTTCTCTAACTGGGAAGAATGGGGAAAGGGGCCCCAGAGGCACGGTGAGTTTCCCGTCCAAATAAAATTGTGGATCCAAAGAGTTTTGCAGAAATGCAATTTATGAGAGAGAGAGAGAGAGAGAGAGAGAGAGAGAGAAAGAGAGAGAGAGAGAGAGAGAGAGAGAGAGAGAGAGAGAGTGAGAGAGAGAAACAGCTCCCATGCTGTTGTGGGAGGGGAACCCAGAGCGGGAAATCTGCTTAGGTAGGAGCAGCTAAAGTTTTGACCCTTGAGTTATTCCCTTTCTGTTCATGTTCTGGTCCAGTGAGAGGAGTTCTTTCAGACTTCCTCTGAGTAATTGACCTTTGACTCCGATACAGGATTGGCTATTTGGTCTACAATCTTGAGTTATAGAACCTCCTTCTCCCAGAGCTTTCAGTGGGAATTTGGGACAAAAGAGTTCTAGTTGGCTTTCCCTACCTGGCCTGCATGTGGGAAAGCCAGACAAGGAACTTTAAATTTGAAACCCTTCTGGTCTCCAACCGAGGTATGGAGCCAGGAAATTCCTGCATTTGGAGCCCCTCCCCTAGTGGACCTGGGAAGAGAAGTTTCTTTAACACAGTCCCTCAGTTTCACCTCTGAACAGGCAAGTCCAACTGCTGTTGGGACATGGGTGTCGATCGCTCTTTAACTACTTCCTGCTGAATTGGGGCATAGAAGGAGCTCTACAGTTCAGGTTTTCCCAGAGGGGAGTCTTCCAGGGGTGCAGATCGATCCAGAGGCCCACGATAGAACTTATGAGTCAAGGACATTTGGGGTTCCATTTGCAGGACCATTTGTAGCCTCATGGCCTCAATTCTAGAAGAAACAAATTTGACAAGAAGGTTAAAGGTGAGTGGCCCAAAGGTCAGCAATAATCGAATGATTATAAATGGGCAAAGAAGAGGGTAGGGCCAGGACAGCCAGTTGTTAAAACAAGCTCCACGATTCTGTTTCTTGAAGGTCTTTGGCCTTGTGTTTGATTTGGCCCCTGAGTTCTTTAAGTTTGTTTAAGATAATACCTGACTGGTTTACAAAGTAGCAGCATTCTCCTAAAAAGAGACAGATGCCTCCTCCTTCTGCTGTTAGCAGATCCAGAGCCCTTCTATTTTGAAGAGCCATAGCAGCTAAAGAGTTAAGCTGCTTCTGCAGAGTTCCGAGAGAATGAGCAACCTTTTCCATGTCATCGTTTAACTCCTGAGATACAGTAAAACTGAGTAGAGGTAGCAATTCCTCCAATGTGAGTACCAAGTCTTCCTATTATTCCAGCCCCCACTATGAAAGGAATAATTGGGGTTCGAGTATGACATGGCCTTCTCAAGAGAAGACTCTGCACCTGAGAGTCAGTGTAAATTGACATGGGGGGGCACGGGGAAGGAGAGGAGGCATATTTCCCCAGAGATATTATTTAGGCACAGTAGGCTGAGGTGCCACAAAGAATAAGCCTGGTGCTAGGCAGTTAAGGTCTGGGGGTAAGGCAACCCAGTTTTGGCATAGGGAAGCATTGGAGTTGTTGGTAGAATTGACACAAGTGAAGTTTGAGGTAGATGGAATTTGTAGATTGGTGACCAAGGGACCTATAAGCCCGGTATGATTTGAGGGAGTGATAATATCAGAGGGAGAAGCGAAGAGCTATTAGAAGTATAATTAGGCAGTAAGCCTCAGATAAGGAGAGTTTATGAGATGTAGGCCAATCCATAGGGGCGACCACGCAGAGTCCGGTTGCAAGTATTGAAGTTAAGAGTGACAGTCCTGTTAATGCCAGGATGTAAGTCAAATGCATGAGTAGTTACTTTCCTGGGGATCTTGTCAGAAGAGCAAAGGTAGATCCTCTAATGGCTCGCAGGTGTATGAAGGGTGGTCTCCGGGAACTTCAGGCTGTGGGGTGGAGGGCCTATGACTTTCTTCAGGAGGTGCCCAAGGCTTCAGCTGAGTGTGACAAATCCATGAGTCAATTCCCGCCATCTTAACTGCCATTGAAGTAGACAGAATAACTGAAAATGGTCCTTCCCAAGATGGCCTAGAGAAGGAGAGTCTGAGGGGAGAGACTTAGCAAGGACCAACTCTCCAGGGCACAACAGCTCTTTCCCTTTTTCCCTAGGGTGTCCTTCAGGTAAGGTTCTAAGAGCCTGTTGGTGCTTAGCCAAGGAGGTTATATCTTTTATTAGATCTGCTGTTTCCTTGTCTAATACGAGATCATTAGTAAGAAACGGCCATCCGTAAAGCATCCCATAGGGGCTGAGTCCTATTTTCTGAGGAGAGTTTTGAGCCCTTAAGAGTGCTATTGATAACAGAGAAGGCCACAGGAGGTGGGTTTCCTGAGCCAGTTTCTTTAAGTGTCTCTTAAGAATTTCATTTATTTTCTGCACTTTCCCTGAGGGCTGAGGCCTCCAAGCACAGTGGAGATGATACCGTATTCCCAACGCTGTGGAAATTCCTTGGGTCACTGCAGCTTTGACGGCAGGGCTGTTGCCACTTTGAAGACAGTGAGGGAGACTGAATTTTGGGATTCTTTTATTAAGCAGGACATTTATTACCTCTTGGGCTTTTCCTGTTCTACAGGGGAAAGCCTCAACCCAGTTCGTGTAGGCATCTACATATACTAACACATGTTGATATCCCTGAGACTTAGGCATATGGGTAAAGACCATTTGCGAGTCCTCACCTAGGTAATGACTGGTTTGCTCTTCCCCAGGAGGAACTTTGCAATGTGCCAAAGGATTATTTTTTGGCATATTACACATCCCTTGACTATTTGTTGGACAGCCTTGAAGAGACCTTTTTCTGTAAATATAGATTTGTCCATTCGATATGTATTCTCTATACCCATACGGAAGGTTTGTTGTAGGCTGCTAAGTAATTTCCACTGGCTGGCAGCAGGTAGTAGTGCTTTTGTCTCCTCAGTAGCTAGCCATCCTGAAGGAAGAAGATTACGTCCCTGGGAGTTTGCCCACTCTACCTCTTCTGATGAGTATTGAGGTCTAGTTCCCTGGAGAGGGTTTTCCCATATTAAAGGTCTTTCCATAAATTCTTGTCTAGCTGCACTTTTGCCTCTAGGTCAGCTTGGCAATTGCCCTCTGCTTCCTTCTCATCTCCTTTCTGGTGACCTCGGCAGTGTGAGACTGTTACCTCTTTGGGTTCTTGGACAGCATAAGTCTAAATTTTCCTTATGATATTTAATGGGAGTTACTGCCGAGGTTAGGAACCCTCTTTCCTTCATATGGCAGTGTGAGCGTGGAGAACCAGGCAAGCACATTTGGAATCTGTGTATATGTTTAATGTCTTTGCTTTTCCTAATTTTAGAGCTCCGAGTAAGGGCTACTAGTTCTGCCAGTTGGGCACTAGTTCCAGGAGGAAGGGAAGGTCAATGACTACTGCATATCCTGCCTTTTGAACTCCATTTTCTACAAATGAACTTCCATCAGTGTATAGGTTAAGGTCAGGATTGGCTAGAGGAGTTTCTAAGAGATCCTCTTGAGCCACATAGTTCTGGCCTATAACCTGCTGACAGTCATGTTCTTTGTCTGCCCCTTCTTCAGGAAGAAAAGTAGTTGGATTGAGGGCTGCACATGTGCACAGCTGAAGCGCAGGCCCTTTGAGCATTAAGGCCTGATATTTGAGTAAGTGGTTGTTGGACAGCCATAAGCCTCCTTTAGAGGCCAGAATTTTAGCTACATCATGTGAAGTCCATATAGTTAGATCTTTCCCTTGCAGTATTTTAACAACTTCTGACACCAATATAGCCACTGAAACTATGGCCTACAAGCAGTGTAGCCAGCCTTTTGCTACTGCATCAATTTCCTGACTTAGGTATGACACCAGTTGTGGCACGGTCCCCGAGTCTGGGTGAAGATCCCCAGTGCCACTCCTGACTTTTCTGTAACATATTGGGAGAAGTTGTTCCCTGTAGGAAGGCTTAGAGCTGGAGCCTGCAGTAGTGCCTGCTTCAGGGTCTGAAAGTCTGCCTTAGCTTTAGGGTCTCATTGTATTAGATCGGTGTTAGCTTTTTTGGTTTTCCTTAATCAGAGTATAGAGGGGTTTGGCTATTTCACCATATCTGGAAATTCACAATCGGCAGAAACCAGTTCTTCCTAAGAATCTCTGCAACTGTTGTAAGGTCTTTGGGTGGGGGAAGGCCAGAATGGGTTGCAGATGTTCTCCATCAAGGGCCCGAGTGTCTTTAGACAAGACAAGCCCTAGGTATTTTACCTCTTGCCTACAAAGTTGGGCTTTTAACTTGGAAACCTTATATCCACAGGTGGCTAGAAAGTATAGGCAGTCCTGGGTGGCCTGCTGGCACTGGGTTTCTAAGTTAGCAGTTAAAAGTAAGTCAACCATATATTGAAGAACCAAGGTACCTGGATATGAAAAATAACTAAGGTCCTGACCTAGAGCCTGGCCAAACAGGTGGGGGCTGTTTTGAAAGCCCTGGGGTAACACTGTCCAGGTGAGCTGAGAATTCTGGTCTAAAGGTCTTCAAAGGTGAACAGAAACTGGGAGTCAGGATGTAATGGAACACAGAAAAAGGCATCATTAAAGTCCAGGACTGTAAAGCATGTGCCTCTCCTGGTATTTGAGAGAGGAAGGTTTGTGGGTTGGGTACAGCTGGGTATAAAGGGATTACAGCTTCATTAATAAGCCTGAGATCTTGCACTAGCCTACACTGTACATTAGGTTTTTATAGTCCTAAAATTGGAGCATGACAAGGGCTGTTACAGGACCACACTAGACCCTGAGCTTTTAAGTTCCTTACAATATCCTGTAGCCTTTTTTTGGCTTCTGGCCTTAGGAGGTACTGTCTTTGTTAACAAAAAGAGGTGGGATCTTTTAGCCTTATTCAAATTGGGCAGGCATTCTTTACCCGCCCCAATTGTCCCTCCATTGCCAAACATCAGGATTAATCCCTTCTTCAAACCATGGGCAGCAGAGAGAGCTTTTCTCCCTGATGTTCATATAGATGATAGTTCCTGCTCTGGCTAACAGGTCCCGCCCTAGTAAGGGAGTAGGACTTTCTGGCATGATGAGGAAAGCATGGGAGAAAAGCACATCTCCCCAGTTACAGCTTAGGGGCTGGGGGAAATATGGGGAGACTGGATGTCCTAGGACTCCTTTGGAGGATAACCGCCCAAGACAGGAAAGCAAAACTGAGAAGGCCGCAGCAGTGTCCGGGAGAAGATCGACCTTCTGGCCCTCTATGGTTAGCTCTACCCAGGGCTCAGTGAGGGTGATGACTTGTGCTGGTGCTTGCCCTGGGCACCCTCAGTCCTGCTGCTGGGTCATCTGGTTAGCCACCTCAGGCTCTGGGAACCTTCATCCCCTGGAACAGTGTGCTTTCCTGTGATCCCCTTGGCACAGTGGGCAAGGATGAGGATGTGATCCGTTCCTCTGGGACAGTCCTTCTTAAAGTGTCCTGGTAGGCCACAGTGGTAGCAAGCTCTGCCAGACTGGTGGCTAACCCAAGCCTTTACCTTTTCCAAGCCTATTTGGTCTGCTTGCCTGAAGGCCATGACTAGGGCTGTGGCCTTTTTCTTGTCCCTCCTTTCCCTTTCAGCCTGTTCCTCCTGGTCTCTATTAGAGAACACCAAGTTTGCTAGATTTAGTAATGATTCTAGACTCTGTTGTGGCCCCAGGGCCAGCTTCTGGAGCTTCCTCCTAATGTCTGTGGCTGATTGCCTAATAAATTTGTCTTTCAGTATTAGCTGACCCTTGATGGAGTCTGCTGACAGGGGAGTATACTTTCTTAAGTCCTCCCATAACTGCTCAAGGAAGGCTATTGGGTTTTCTTCCTTTCCCTGAGTTATGGTGGATAACACTGCATAGTTCATGGGCTTTTTCCTAGTTCATCTGAATCCCTCAAGTATGCAGGTTAATAGATGCCTATGACTCCAGTCTCCATGTTCTGAGTCAAGATCCCTGTGAGGGTCCATGCTGGGGACTGCCTGTTTACCTGTAGGGAATCTATCCTTCTCCTCTGGTGTCATTTGGTCATGTACTTGACTAACTACCAGGTGTCCCCAAACTCTTGAACCGCTGCTAGAGCAGCCTCTCTCATTGCTGGTTAGGGTCTGGCTAAGCAATAACATAATATCTTTCCAACCTAATTCGAAAGTCTGACCCAGGCCCTGCAGAACATCTATGTACTTGTCTGTGTCATCTGAAAATTTTCAAGTCCCCCCTTGATTTGCTTTAAGTCAGAAAGTGAAAAATGAAAGCTTTAAGTATGTACTTTGGTTGGGCCAAATTCTCCTCCTACTGCCTGTAGGGGGCAGAGTTGAGGCATCCTAGTAGCCTGAGGTGCCTTGACCCATGTTGGCCTTTCCTGACTCCTCTTGTGTTATAGGAGCTGAGGAGACCTGGTCCATATTGGTGGAGGGAGGAGCCACAGGGAGTCCTGGATATGGGGGTAGTCCTGGATATGGGGGTAGTCCTGAGGAGGGGCCAGTAGGGCATAGGTTAGAAGTCTTACGTAGCTGAGGATTATCCCTTAGAGAAAAGAAAATTTGCACATAGGGGACCTCAGTCCATTTACCTTTTCTCTTACAGAAAAGGTCTAATTGTAGAAGGGTGTTATAATTCTTACTTCCTTTAGGAGGCCAGGTTTCTCCACTCAGCAGAGAGTATCACAGCCACACTGTTTGGCAGAAAAAATGAGCCACTTCTTCTTCAAAGATTGTGGGTCGAATTGGTCCCAGTTATCCAGGATACACTTTAAGAGTGATTTTGCCTTGGAAGGGTGGCACCCATCTGAAATTGAACACAGGAATGTCCACATCTCTGGTTATTCCTTGCAACTGCTAGCCCTGGGGCATCCCCCAGTTATAGTACCTTGCAGTTCTCCTTGCACCCTAGATGCATGATCATCTTTGGGCCCCACCATGTGCCGGGTTTAATCACACTTACTGGTGTCATGGGCACAACATCACTGTCTAATGTCCTTACTGGCTACCTTAAGGACATGAGGACTGCCGGGATTAGTGGCCCTGTATCGGCACTTCCTTGAAGAACTAGGACAGTGAGGCTTGAGTGATGGGTGCCAATATTCCCTAGCAAGAGTTCAATTGACATAGGCCTGACCATAAAACTGCCCTATGAGGATAAACTTGAAAAGGGCCTCTAAGCACAACAATCTTAAAGAAGGTAATGGCTGGCTGCATGGCTGAGGCCGGAGCAATGCCCTCAGGACCAGGCCTTCTCCCCCACCCCACTTTCCATCATAGGAATATGTCCTAGGGTTGTGGGGCCTGTAATTAGCTATTTGAGGCTCAGACCAGGTCTGACTGTGGTATCCTAGATGAAGAAGTTCTGCCGTACAGAGAACTGATCCTAGGCAAGACAAATTGTATGTTATCAGATTCTAGCACCACTCAGGCAGATTGGGAAATTGCAGGTGACAAAAAACACAATGTCCTATAGCCTTCAGTACCACTGATAGACTCTGGCTCTGTTAGGACATAACCTAGTACAGCAGATTAAGGGAACTGGCCCTGTGTATTTATACTGTAGGAGGTCCTCATAGGCATAAGCCTGAGGGAACCACAGGCAAGGGTCCCTGGACTGCCACCCCAAGAGCCTCAAAGTCCTAGTAAGAAGGGTAATAGCCTCCTATGTAGGAAATATCTTAAGAGGAAGGAGCCGGGAAGAAGTTTGCCTCATGGATATCTGGATCCAGGAGGTTGGGGTCTGAAAGGCTGGACGTGGCTCACATAGACGGCTTTTTCTTAGGAGGTCTAAGCAAGGCCACAACCTCAATAGAACCAAACTGGGAGTTGGGGACCACTGCTCTTTCCTCCTGCTGACCCTCAGCTTAGCCCACAGAAAGAAAAAACAGTAAGAAAGGGAAGCTGGTTGAGGCTAACCAATGCTCCCAGTTCTGAAGAGCCAAGGATTGTTAGAGACTCCGTTCACAGAAAGCCTGACACCCATGTCTTTACTCTGGAGGCTACACTAGTTGCTCTTAGATGGCTGACAGTTGCCCAGTTTTTACCTCCTTAACAAATTTAAAAGAAAGGAAAAGACAGATTAGCAAGTGAAAGGGGTCCAATATCACTCACCACTCTGAATTCCGACATCTCCTGGCTGGCTTGCCAACAGATGTAACCCGGGGTGTGTACCCAGCTCCCATAGCTCATAGGTCCTTGGCCTCTCTATCCCCAGAGAAAGGGGAAAGGGGCCTTGGAGGCACGGTGAGTTTACTGTCTGAATAAAATTGTGGACCCAAAGAGTTTTGCAGAAAAGTGATTTATGAGAGAGAGAGAGAGATAGAGAAGACAGCTCCCATGCTGTTGTGGGAGGGGAACCCAGAGCAGGGAAACTTAACTGAAGTTTTAACCCTTGAGTTATCCCTCCCTATTCCTGTTCTCGTCCAATGAGAAGAGTTCTTTCAAAATTCCTCTGGAGTGATTTCTCTTTGACTCTGATACCGGATTCACTACTTGGTTTACAGCCCTGAGCTACAGAGCCTCCTTCTCCCAGAGCTTTCAGTGAGAATTTGGGATAAAAGAGACCCATCTGGCTTTCCCTACCTGGCCTGCGTATGGGAAAACCAGACCAAGAACTTTAAATTTGAAACCCTTCTACCCTTCTGGTCTCCAATGGAGGTGTGGAGCCAGGAAATTCCTGCATTTGAAACCCCTCCCCTAGTGGACCTGGGAAGAGAAGTTTCTTTAACAGTTCCTCACTACCATGTTTGGAGTTTCTATTTCCTCATCTTTTAGACGAAGGAGTTCAGTTAGATTAGTTGTCTATAACCATAAAATTCAAACTCTTCCTTAGTATAGTAAAACTTCTATATGATTCTTCACTATCTAGAATTATAATATTATATTATTATGTACTATCCAGATTATATTGCAGAAGGAATATTATCTCTGTGCACACAAAATTTAGTGAAACTGAATATAATACTCTATAAGGTAGAAATAAAGGGAAAGGAATTTATATTTAAATAATATGTATTTTATTGTATAAACACTCTGGAGCACATAACAAAGCAGACAGCTGCTTGAACTTTTTGAAAATAAGTCAACACAAGAAGTCTACAGAAATAAAAGCCCAGAAATCTGGGCATAGACAATAGAATTAAAACAAAATTAGGATAAATTAATATTAGACCCGGCTGATTTGTAGGTGACAAAAGAAGGGAAATGAAGAAAATTAGCAAGGCATTTCTTTGACAGCTTTATTTGCTGCTTCGTTGTAAAACGTTTATTTAATCTGGATGCTTTACTACTTCATTTGGAAAAAAACGTTGGCAGTGTGAGCACATTGGTAATTCAAATTCCATTGTGATATAAATGAAATAGCCAGAGCTAGGGGAATTATTGCCTTTTATGGTGTGATCAGAAGCCCTCTCTCAAGAGGAAACATTTGCACAGAAAGCTTAAAGAAACAAAGATGTCCAAAGCAGAGGAAGACTCTGAGGAAGTGTGTTGACATGTGCCAAGCAACTGCAAGGAAGCCAGCTCAAGAAGGCTACAGCAGACAGCACAACTCAAAGTGTGGCTGTGGCAGAGGATGAGGCAGAGAGGTGGGTTGGGGGCACTGGGAGTGGAGAAAAGCATATGGTGATTTGAAAGCCACTGTACAAACTTCTGACTTACCTTAGTTAGATAGGAAACCACTTAAAACTGAGCTAAGTTGTAACATGATAAGCATTGAATTTTTACAGGAGCCTCTATTTCTTTCATTCATTAGAAAATGAATCCATTTATATTTGAAAATAGCGTGTACGGCTGTAAAGGAAAATGTAGGTAGACCAATTTGACCAATTAGTAGGCTATAGCGATACTGAAAGTGGGAGATGTTTGTGTCCTGGATCTTAGTGGTAGCAGGAGAGGAATTAATCAGTAAGTGATTGAAATGTAGATATGTTAAAAAGGAGAAGATAGAAGCTGTTAGTGTATTGTGTGTGGGCATGGGACAAAGGGAAGAGTCATGATCAAAACCAAGGTTGAGGCTTGAGCAACTTGCAGAGGGGGCTAGGATTTACTGAAAAGGAAGACTTAAGCAGAAGAAGGGCTGTGTGCAGGAGGAAATGAGATGCCTATTAGGCATTCAAGTAGTGATTGTGAAGAAGTAACTGGATAAAGGAGTATGGGGATTGGAAAGAGGTCTGGGCTGGAGATATAAATTTTGGATTTATCAGTGTAAGATGGTATTTAAAACTATGAGATGACCTAAATTGTTAAGGGAGTGAATACAGGGTGAAAAGAGAAGAGGAGAAGACCTGAAGTCAATGAAGTGGATTTATTTTGGTTGATTCCACAGGAGTAGCTTAGAGGTAGACAGGGAATCAAGAGAGAATGGTGTTCTGGAAATCCAGTGAAGAGATAGTTTCTAGTTCAGCTGTGTCCAGGACTTCTGACTGGTTAAGATGAGGACTGATACTGACAATTTCCATTAATTAGCAACACATCTTTGGTGACTTTGACAAGAATTGTTCTTATGGGATAGCAAGGATGAAAGTCTTAATGAAGTGAGTTCAAAAGGGAAGCAAAAGCTAAGACAGTAAGTGTAGACCCTCTTTAAAAAGAGCTGTGCTACAAGTGGTAGTAGAAGAGGAAGAGAGGCCCAGAGAGTTTTTAGTTTTTATTCTTTTTTAAAGATGTGAGATTACAGAACGTTGTGGAGGTGGGAATAATCTTCTAGAAGACCGCTATCCAGCAGAACTCTGTGAGATAGAAATGTTCTGTCATCTATGTCCATGCTATCCTATAGAGTAGCCACTGGTCACATGTAGTTACTGAGCACTTGAAATGTGGCTAGTATGACTGATGAAATGATTTTAAATTTTATTTAATTGTAGGCCATTTGAATTTAAATAGTCATGTGAGTTGGTGGCTAGTGAATTGGACAGCATTACTTTAAAGAGAGGAAAGTAATGAAATAGAGGAGAGAAGGTCGGCTGTGGCAGTGATAACCCTGAGTAGCTGAAAGTGAAAGAGATCCCAGAGTTGAAGGGGTTGGTCTTAGAAAGGGGCATAGCTGTTGATTCACTGTAACAGAAGATATAGAAGTTGGTTCAGATACTGATATTATTGATAGAGTTGTGGTGGTGGCTGGATGAAATTTCTTTTCCAATTGCTTATTTTGTCCAGTGAAATAGAAAGCAAGGTCTCTAGGCTGTGTGAGAAAGTACAAAAGCAGTGTTGGCGTAGTAAAGAGAGAGTAGAAGGATTTTCCAAGGAGCTCCTTGACATTAGTGCTTATGAATTTAAAGAGATACCGGTTAGCATGACTTTATATTTTTCTCCACTTATACTCAGAAGGCCAAGATGCAGTTAAATTTACCTGGAGTTAGGACTTTGCCAGAAAACTTAACCAAAGGAAAAGGGGCAAGGGAAAGATTAAACTGAAGGACCATTGAAGCTAAGCTGGTTAGGAGCAAAGTGAGAACATGAGGAGACAAAGGACAGTGAAAAGATAGAGGAACAATGGATTGTTAACACTTTCACCTTATTCAACATATAAATGACTCAACATGGAGATTTTGCAAATGAAATTCTAGGCATTTCTTGCTATCATCAATGGTCCAATAGTTTTTTTCTTCTTTTTTTACTATGACAGTTTCAGAGGATTCTTTTACTTTTCTGCATTCATTGTTTCAGGATTCCATATGGTTGCTTTCAGGAATCTACTCCAAGCAAATTTTGTCCAATTTTTAAAATACTAGAAAAATGACAAATTTCCATTCTCTACTAACTTTGTGATATGTAAGCCCCCTGATTAGTGCTTTGTGTTTTCAAGGACAGTTTTGCACTCTCAGAATCCTGCAGGTAAACTGTTATTTACACATATCACTAAGGACTATTCACATTCTTTGGTGATAAAATTTTAATTAAATCAACATTTTACGTAAATGAGTCATTTGTTAAGGCTTATAAACCTTGGGATTATACACAAATCTCCACTTACATGTATGTATCCAGAGTGCAACCCTTTTGTGACACATTTTTATGCAGGCAATTTGCCTTATCTTGTGTTATTGAGTCATGAAAACACACGGAATAATAGACGAGGCTTTTATGAGATAAGAAGTGGTCATTAGCTCTGTTGTATACCTATTGTATTTAAGATCAAGACCCATAGCAAAATCAATACCATAAGTTTACAATTCTGAGTTCTCAACCTGCCTTTAATAAGAAGTCCATCTACTGTCTCTCAAACACTCGTTGCTTTTGAGCCAAAGCTCTTTTGTATCTTCAAGGTTTATGTGATGAATATAAATATTAAACTAAAATCTTAAGTATATGGGAAAATTCACATTCCTTTTACATTCAAATAATATTAAGTTTGACGTTTCCTATCTATTCCACCAGAACTATGAGATATTTTATTTCAGTGTTTAATTAACGCCTTGATTTCTATCACCTTGCCTCCTAAACACATCTAAGGTCCCAGGAAACATGTGAAAAGAAACAAACAAGCAAAATCACAAAAAGATTTGAAGAATGTCCCACTGGTCTTGTTATTCCTAAAAGACCCATTTTCCAAACCCACACTGTCCATTGAATTGCAGAGCTTCATGTTTGGAGCACAGAAAGCTCAAGCATGGAACACAGACAGGAGACCATAGTTGGGGTTCAGACACTTTTGCCAAGTTGAAAACTCCAATCTTAGGTCTAACTTTTCTATGTATGCAATACATAGTCCATTTTGCCATAGTCCTGTCACCTTTCTGGGGACCTGATAGGAGAGGTCTAGAGTCCTTATTCTGATTAGAAGGTCACCTGTTTGTGTATTTCTTTGTCCTGGATAATGTACCTTCTCTTCCCTTCTCAGGTACCGTTCCCCTCAAAGATAGTCTTCTCTTTATCCTCTCCACTTCAGAATTGCTATGATAACCTTCTCAATTACTTTAGGCTTTTACAAAAAAATAAAATGCTAGTGTGTACACACATTCTGCTTTAGACCCAATAAATTTGGTGCTCCCCTAGGGCAAGAGAGTACAAAGTTGGCAGGGAGCACAAAGCATAAAATAATGACTCCATAAAGTATCCTCCCCAGGCTTGGAAAGGTCATCTCCATGCTGATCTGAGCTTTGGCACTGACCTACCTGCTTAGGTTAGTCCTTTGCTGAGGGAGAGTAACAAATGCAGCACACTCTGAAACTCCCATGCTGAGTGCTGTTATGCACATTGGTAGGGCAATATGTTATCTAATTAGAGCTTCGCCACTAAAACTTACTGTGGCATCCAGCTGCACATGGCAGGGCTAACAATGTACTGTATTTCTTGTTCCTGGAAGAAAACCATAGCAAATTCCAAAGGCCTGTTTTTACAGGACTGCAGCCAGAATGACCTACTTCCCTAATGCCCTACTAACCTACTAAAATTACTGAGTTCT